TCAGTAAAATACAATATCGATCATTTTTCGTTTGCCAGAACCAAATAGGTATATATTCAGAGCATCAATAATTTGAGCTAGCGACCCATCAAGGGAACTGACACAGTCTGCTTGTAGATTCCTAATTACTGAACACCTGATAGTAGGAACAACTTATTTTTTTCTCTCGCAGTGGAATTCAAAACGAAATAAAAGACATTTTTCCATGGGAAAGCCAAGGGTAACACACGGCCAGTTGTTTGGTCATATTTACGTAACCCTGTTTGCTCTTGTCGCGGCTAAAAACTCAACAAACACTAATGCCATTGTTTCATTTTTACCTCAACAAGGCCTTGTGCATCTTTGAAAACAACGAAGGATGTGAATCCGCAAAAGATCAACAAAATGGCGAGGCTCCTCATAGTTGGTCTGAAAAGAGTAAGACAAGGTTATTCAGAATTAAAACCACCGCTCAGAAGTGTAGGGCATGCACTTGACAAAGCTGACGGTAAGTACAGTTTGATAGTAGTACCGGAGGATCCTTTGGGGCAACTTCCGGTAAAATTGGCTTCCAACAACCGAAGTTAAGATGGCTGTCAACAGTTTCCAGCACTTTTCCAACAGTTATATTTTGACGGATTAAATCTAACATTATTTATCAAGTGATGCTACAATACTGTTATCACCCAAACTCTACACCATCGGTGAATCTATAATGATAATTTTTATGGCATAGTAAGTTACCATAGCAACAGTAATACCCGTGAGAATCATCCTTATTTTAGAAAAATTCTGTGGGAGGGGTTTAGAGCCATGTTAAATGTTTAAAAATATATCCTTTTGAAATTATATTTCCAAATCACGTAAACTTTCGATCTTCTGATGGTTTCTCTCCAGGTATGTTTCAGAAGTAGGGGCATTTGAACAAAACAGCAACCTCTTGGTAAAATGATTATTGGTTATCTTGTTGTAGACCCGTTAAGTTATTATATCGAATAATTTGCCGACCCTGTTGAGTTTGCGCCTGCCACAAGAAAAATATTCAAGATAAAAAAATCCCCGACACCCTTTTGTTTTTCGATGCTTAAGGAATGTTTTGGCCAAATTTCTACCAACTCTACATAGCCTTTTAATTCATTTAAAGAGATGGGACTCGAGCGAAAAACTATTGCGAGTTGTCACCGTTTGAAATGCCACCAGCCAATGGAATCATGGCACCGGCCCCTAGCGTACACAGCGAGCGAAATGATTTTCGCGGGAATTCCAAGGCAATAATAGTGTAACAGTCACGTTCTCCTTGTTGAGCTTCAGCGTGCGTTTATAGAGAGGTCGTTACCGCTCTGTTGGGGAAAACCAAGAGAAATAAGAGGGGTAAAGTACAGGTACGAGTACACATGATCCCTTGTCGCTGTTGGTCAAAGTTTTTTTTCTTGTCTTGGAGAAATTCCGATTTTGTCTTCTTCTTAGGTGCTGGCTTCGATTTTTTTGCTGTCCAAGGACTTTTCTCTTCCTTTCTTTGGCACGTTTTATGACCTCAATAAGGAGTGATAGGTAGCATGGAAGAACGAATTAATTCGAGAACACAACTGCGAAATAGCGTGTAAAGAAAAAAAAATATATGGCTAATGAGGCCCTTGTAATAAAAGCTACCAGTGGAAGACGTTTCGCGCAAAAAGTCGACGCGCTATGAGGATTATGACACCCAACTGTTTTATTACTTTTATTAAAGAAAACTTTTTGCTAAATAACTTGCGCGTGTTTTAAGATTTTACTTTCATTTTCCGGGAAATGTTAGATTTTATAGCAACTTTTTTGTTTTGCTCAAAAAGTAAAATTCGGCAAAAGTAGCACTCTCAAGGTATTGTGTAACTTTAACATAGAAACGTTTTTCACAGAATGGTTTTTGGATGTTGTAAGTCCCATCTAGACATTTGACTAAATATTTCAAGCCTGGAGACCTTGTTGTTTTACGAAACCCGGTCAATACGAAACGATAGGGCAAGACTTAAAAAAAAAGAAACTCTATTTTCCATTTGCCTGGGGTCCGTACATGGAATCACAAGCAAATCATGGTAATACTTAGCTGCTAACAATGTAAAATCTGCTAACACTAACACTTACTGTGCTGGGTCTTCTCTCGGGATATCGTCCTTTGAAATCAGTCTTCCGCGATAAGGGAAACCTTCCTTACAGGCTAACTCTCGGTGGAGAACTGAATGTTGTATGTGACGCTGCTTCCTTCTAAGAAATACTAAACATGAAACAAATAAGTTTGAAACTGACAGCTGTTAATTGGAAAAGAAAATATGATTGAAGCTCATGTCACAACTGCTATCTGTATAGCTTGGAAACAGCGCATGCCCAACTATATTTGTCTGGGGTAGGCTTCTAAGTGTTTACTTAAAGAAAAATTTTCGCCGAATGACAAAAACTGGAAATTCGTCATAATAATAGAAATTTTTAAAAAAGTAAGACTAACCAGAAAGAATGTTCCGAGTAACAAACGTTTCTTCATATCCAAAGTCAAGTTTAAAGTTAACAGTTGCGCGCAAAAATTACGATCAAAGACCACGGTTTTAAACAAAAGACGACAAGAGGCTACCTAGTGGGATCGGCTAGGCAAGTTTGTTATGTGTTGCTATGGGAATTGTCCCTTATGTTCAGAAATTCTGTTGATTGGACTTGCGACAGCAAATGATATCTTAATTGTCGTCCATTACTTAATGGTAATAACCGATTTAAACTAACAATGGATTGATTGATTGGAATAAATTGAAAAATAATTACCCATCTCCCAGCAAGATATTTTATTTTTTTTATTTGCTGATTCTGACGTTAGGAAGACATAAAACTGCTGGGACTTGATTGCATCTGTAAAGCTTGGAAACAGCGCATGCCCAGCTACCTTTGTATATGGCAGGCCTCTGAGTAATTACGTAGTGAAAATTTTTCGCCGAGCGAGAAGAACTGGAAATTCGTCAGAATAAGAGAAATTTAAGAAACGCAAGACCAAAAAGAACGAGTGTCCCGACCAACAAACAGCTTCACATCCCCAAAGCCATGTTTAAGGCTGATGTCGAGCACATGATTACGATCAAAGACCACGATTTTAAACAAAGGAGGACAAAAGGCTACACCTCATGGGGTCGGCTAGGCAATTGCAAGTTTGTCGTGTGTTCGTGTGTTGCCAAAGGAATCATCCTTTATGTTCAGTAATTCCCTTGATCGGACGTGAAATATCTTAATTGTCATCCATTTCTTAATGGTAATAACCAATTTCAACTAACAATGGATTGATTGATTGAAAGAAACTGAAAAATGACAACTTATCTTCCACCAAGACATCTAATTATTTGTATTCACAGATTCTGACGTTACGATGACATCTAATTGAGCTGTAAGCTTGACTGTTAGTCGTCCAATGCTTAATCATTAGATGTTCCTTGTCGAAAAAAAGAACGCCTTATCATAGGTTATGCTACATGAAACAAAAAGGTATCACTAACTGGTTACATAGAGTGATTAAATGACCTAACCGGCCAGTTAAATAACTACTACACAATCAGATCCATATTACATCCATATTACATAGATCTAATTACATTTGAGGATGTTATATGGCAGCGCGGAGATACGAAATTTCTCTTTAAGTGTTGAAAAGTATGAGTGAGCGCAGCGAACAAGTAAAATACTTTTCAACACTATAAGTAGCTCAGTGGATAGAGCGCCCGCCCGCTGTTCGGAGGTTATGAGTTGGACTCCTGTCGAGGATTCGGATTTTTTCTTTGTCCCACGCTCGTGTCGTGTTGATCAATTTACTTTTCACATTTCATTACCAAGCTTAAAATTCACCATCTTTATTCACTTATCACTATAGAAAAGAAATGTCATATCTCCAAGCGGCCATG